TAAGCATGTTTAAAATGAGATATTGTTATGTAATGATACATGTAATATTTTACTTAGAGTTAAAGTCAGCAGTATAAGTACACAAGTGAACATGATGGTAATTGCTGCTTGCATCAGTGATCTGTGATGCTGATTATCACTGAACTAATCTGTTTCACAAGCTGGTGTTAAGCTCCGCCTTTTGGCATAACCCTCTTATAAAGCACAGAAATTAACATATATTATGATGGATTGATGCCTAAATCTGCTTGCACTTGTTATCTTTCAAAGTAATGTAATTTCTCAAATGTTCTTTGTACTTAGCAGGGATAGGATGTGTTTTTGCACAGTATTATTCCTGTTTCCGGAGTTATATTGTCCCCCTCTGTCCCAAACACCTCAGTTTGGACTGGTGTGATGACATTCCCAAAACTGACACCTACAGATAGGAATATTCAAGTTGAAATCAATATTTAAATAAATAAATGTTTCCAGCTAGAACCTCCCCTTAAAGATACAGTCTTCATATTCAAAGAATATGCTGTAAACGTGTGATATGTGTTTTTATAAAATGTATAAGTTTAATTTATCTCCTTCTTCAAACAACACCTTAGTTTGTAATAATTAGTAATGTTTGCAAAAGTGCTAAATGTGTCTGGTATGAAATGTTAATACATCTTACTCAGTTTGACAGGAAAAGTCAGTCAAATGAATGGGCAATTTATCATTTATGAAAGACCATCAGTCACTTTTTCATAGCAGTATACTTACCAAATGAAGCCATTATACTTTATTGTATTCCTTTCAGATAAGTTTTCGCAGGTGTTACCGTATCCTGTTATTCACAGAGACTTCGTGGCTCACATAAAGAACAACTGTGGTTTGATGTTTAATTGATTAAATACTGTTCAAAGCAATTATTTTGTGTGTGAGTTTTTGTAAAGCCTCTCAGGCATTTTGTATCACTGGGCTCCAACTCTTAGAGCACAATAATAGAGAGCTGAATCTGACAGAGTTACACTTTGTAAAGCCTCTCAGGCATTTTGTATCACTGGGCTACTACTCTTAGAGCACAATAATAGAGAGCTGAATCCTTCAGAGTTAAACTGTTAATAGTGAGTTCAGTGGATGTCTGGGATGTAGTTGATTGAAACCCATCTGGTATATCTTTCTGCCTGCTCTGTGATCGAGCACCTTTAAATAGTATATATTGAGGTTCTCTGTTTGGATATTGTCTGTACCAGTAAAGCATAGCATAACTACTGCTTGTATCATATGTGCAGCTCAGTGTCACAGACTCTCCTTCTCTCCTGATTATATTGTCCTTGTCTTTTGGTTCAATGCTGTCAGCAAATACACCTGCAAGAGAATTAATTATTCTTCATAAAAGTTGAATTTAACCCCTGTTCTGTC